ACCCGGGCCGGTGGGGCTGTCACGGTGCCGGTCAGCCTCACCGCCACCGGCCCCTCTCCTCCGCGCTGGCTCCGTCCCTAAGGCGAGGTGGAGCCGTGTCGCGGTGCAGTTGTGCTCCTCTGGCCCTCCCCACAGACCGCCACCACCGGCCTCTTGCAAGGGCGACATTGCTGTAGGTGGCTCCATCAATACGTGTGTCGTCTTCAGTTTCCACTCGGCCCGGAGGCCCAACAGCAATGCACGGCCACCCGTGATGGCCTTGTGCGGCTGAGCTGGTGGTTTTACTCAAAGTCTCAAAATAATTGGTGTTTACCTTGTTGCTCCTACGCTTTGGTGATCTGCTGGCTTCTTGCCGTTGTCAGTCAGAAGTCTGTCAGTATTCCAGTATCCAGTGCCAAGCCAGGCAGCACGATGTGCTTCAAGAAATGGCATGGTCTCCCAAAAGGTATTTTCTTTCAGCACAGTTTTCAAATGATAAACACCTGTAGTTAAAAAAAACAAACAACACAACCACCCCTACATTTTGAGTCTAAAGTGGCAAATCAATGCAAATGTTTCCATGTGTAAATTGCAGAGAACTGACAAAAAGGTTTAGCAATTCAAGTTGGCAGGAATATGGAGTTGAAAGTATACACTGCGTGTCAGGGGCAACCTTAGAAACTGCATACCAGAACTGTTACATGCTGTGAATTTATGAGATATTTCATATAAACTGAAAAGTAAGGGGAAAAATGAGTTTCAGAAGTGGCTCATGGCTAGGTGATGGCAAGTAAAATCCAATGTTCATTTCCAGAAAGGGGCTTGAAGTGTATTGATGTGGATGGGTCTACAGTTGGATTTGGGGGGGGGGAGCTGGTAATGTTGTAGCAACTTTTTGCAAGTTCACTTCCTCCCTCAGCTGGGAATCTTGTTAATGATTGTATATTGTTTCATGGGGTAGGAGATGTGTTTGAAATATTGGCAAATCAGGTATATAGCACAAGTCTGATGAGGAGCGGCTGAGGGAACTGGGGCTGTTTAGCCTGGAGAAAAGGAGGCTGAGGGGAGACCTCATTGCTCTCTACAACTACCTGAAAGGAGGTTGTAGCGAGGTGGGTGTTGGTCTCTTCTCCCAAGTAACTGGCGATAGGACAAGAGGAAATGGCCTCAAGTTGCGCCAGGGGAGGTTTAGATTGGATGTGAGGAAAAATGTCTTTACTGAAAGAGTGGTTAAACATTGGAACA